TTACATTGAACGGGAACTTCAATGAACAAATATTTGAACTTCCCATGGGATCGCCGCTCTTACCACTTTTGGCAAACATATACATGAACAAAATAGAAGAGAACTTCAAGATAGCACCGCTAGAACCAGCCTGGCTCATGCGGTACCTGGATGATTATTTAGCCACATGGAAGAGAAAAACTGGAAGAGTTTCGGATGTTTGTAAACTAGATTGATGAAAAAATTCAATTCACGATGGAAATAGATGAAGATGAGCGATTACCGTTTCTGGACGTTGAAGTGATTCGCTCTAATGAGACGCTCAAACAAAAATTGCTAGAAAGAAGTCCTACGCTGGGCTAATACTCAATTTCCGGTCCCATCACAATTACAGGCTGAAGATTGGAATAATGAGGAGTATGATCATCCGAAGCCTACGCTTAACGGATGTAGAATTCTGGGACGAGGAGCTGGACAAAATGACTAGGATATTTCTCTGTATTGGCGAAGTGATACAAAGAAACATACGGGCCATGAAAAGCCGATGGCAGAACGGAGACTATGAAAGAACGGTACGGACGATGAAGGATTCACAAAATTGGAAATGCCTAACTTCCTGCGAACTAACTCAGAAACTACGACCAATATTAAGTAAATGGTATATTCAGTTGGCCATAAAAGAGAAATTAACACTTTTCACAAGTCTACCAACGCAGCATGAAAGGGTAGACAAATTTGATTGTTCAGGAGTTTACTGTATATCATGCGGCGCTTGGAAACTGAAATCTATTGGCGAAACAGAGAGAAAAATTAGCACACCAATCAAGGAGCATCAAAGTCTCTGCAGGAAAATGGATACCGAAAGATCAGAACTAGCGGAGCCCATCGCAAAGACTGGACACGAGATCAATTGGAAGACAACAGAAAAAAGAGCCCCGTACGGTGACAGCATAAGGAAGCAGAATATAAGAGAGGCCATTGACATCCTTTGGGAGAAAAATTGAATGAACAGGAGATTGGAGCAAGGTAGAGTTAGCGATACGTTTCTCTACTACCTAAGAAAAGTTGTGGAAAACAAGATTAGAGCAAGACCAGTAAAACGGAGACGCCTGGATCAAGGATCTACCATTAACTGGAGGAAAGGGGATCGTGATGAAGAAAGGGGGGTACAGGGGTTTTAGGTCTTATATCTGCAAGCATGGGAATCAGAGCTTAGGCGCTCTGCTCAGTGAACCGACAGTGTACGTGCTTCTAGGGCCTTGAGAAATAGCGCTTGGAGTGAAATGGACACAGGGACTGAAACCGAGTGAAATCGCTCAATTTGAAAGATAAGGAAGGGATCTACGAGA